TACTTCATCTGCATGGTACCAGGTCGTCTATTAGCTGGTATAATGATGTCAGGCTTTTTCACGATGAACGTACATTGGTATATTCAATCCTTACATACCTTGAACTTTCTAATTTTTCTGTGAACACAGTTATCTATACAATGACAAGTTCATTCTTCAGAGATGGGTATAGAAAGATTATCATTTCATTCTTTGGCTGTAGATATAAATAAAAGACAGCTGCAATGCCAACCGAAGTAACCAAATTCTGACTGGGTGAAATAAAATGTAAGCTTGAAGTTCAAGTTTTGAAATGAATGTTGGTGAGAACGAAACGTAAACTGACAGATCTTTATTGTTTCCTTCTGTCAATATTCTTCACATATCTGTTTATATTCATGAATATACATAAAAGTTTTGCCATTGGACGTTAAGCAGACAATGAACCAATCTTATCTGTGAACAGGAAAACCCTGATCATCTAACATCTTTTTTAATAATTTTCTCCTCAATTTTGGAATTGAATATTTCTATTCATTACTTGTACTTTGTAAGAATCGGAAACACCCTAAGATTCAAGTCTTAGCATTATATTTTCCGAAGACGGAAACGGATATGCGTATATAGTAATCAATTGGATCATTTAAAAATTTTAAATATGTTATCATAGCCGTTCTCTTGGCAAGAAGCAAATATCTTTAGTATGAATTTAATTTTGGATTGTCGTATAAAAGTCTCAAAATATAACCTGACTAGGGTTGCTTTAAAGAAACGTTACAGAAGAAAAACTAAATTTTAAGATTACTCCAGTTGAGAATGGTCGGTTTTGTTTTCATTTAGATCTAAAACAAAACTAATTGGTTTGAAATCCGATATGTAAGAGATAAAAGGGATAAAAGACATAGTTATATGCTTTTTACCCTTACGATATAAGGAGGCTAAAAGGCCAAAAAGGATCAAAATACGAATTCATAATTTTATTTTAGGTTCAATCAGCAATATTTCTGTTGATAAATCTTCTGAATTTCTCTGCATTTTGATTTAAAATCATATTTGGTTGTGTTTTTTAAGTGCGTAGATTGAAAAAAATATCTGAAAGAACCAATGACTGAAACTGCACCTGACGCAACTTGAAAATTGGAAGATAACGTTTATTAATATACTTCAAAATTATCTCACTTTTCTTATTCAAAAGCATTAGCTTATTATTGCAATATACATTTTGTTATTGCATATTTTCGTCTTGTGTTTATTTTTGTCTTCAACCTTTGTTTACATGCTATATGTTACTGTTGCGGAAAGGTACAATATGAACACCTCTTTGGAAGGTTTTGATCATAATTATAAGCTCAACAAAAAAAAAGAAATAAAGAAGAATTTTGAATATTTATTTTGATTGGGAGACAGGATGTCAAGATTTGTGAAAGTTTTCTTTTTTGTCTTGTATTATATTGTCTGGTCTGTATATGTAGTGATCATTTATCATTTGTCTTAATATTTACTGCTTGAAAATATGTATGTTAATGTAGAGGATTGCTTACTTTTTCCCTCTAATAGCATTTAGCTTCGTTAAATAAATAAAAAATAGCATTAGGTTTTATTTATGTTATGTGATTATAGAAATTAACGTGAATTAACTTTAAGGTTTTAGATTCTTATTATGTCTACGAAGACGTAACTATTTTTACTGTAGCGTACCGTATTTTCCCTGATTGGGCTTGTTTAATATTCGTGGCACACAATAAAGAAATGGTGATATTGACCATGTTAAAATGAATTAAAGGAGATATGGGTTTAACGTCAATTAGACAACAACCCAACCCAAAATTCGTATTAATAATCATAATCATTCTCCTTGCAGGAAACAAATATCTTTCGTATGATATTAATTTTGAATTGTTGAATAAAAGTCTCACACAATAAATTGACTAGGATTTGTGCTGTTTTTTCTTTGGGTTCTTTTGACGGAAACGTTTACGAATACAACAAGTCAAAATTATATAATTAATATATCTTCAACTGTTTCTGTTCTTATACATCATTGGCTTTCAAATATTCGGCTTTGAGCGTTCCTGGTGAAGGTAAATCCAGAAAAGCGATTTGGAGGCATGAAATTTATACCGTATTGTTTTCATTTTATAATACAGTTAAGAATGATTGGTTTTGTTTTCCTTTAGATCCGTATAAAAAAGCACTAAATGGTTTGAATTCCTATATCCAAGAGCAAAGGTGACAAAAGACGATGTTTTATGCGGTTTTATTTTCTTGACTTTCCTCTGCAAAAAGGTTTTGGATTATTTTATATATATTTGTTCTGCTGTTTTTTTAAGATATAAGGAGGCCCAAAAGGGACCAAAATTCAAATACATGATATTACTAGTACTTTAGGTTCACTTGGAAATATTTTTTTTTACAAATTTGATGAAATCCTCTGCGTTATGTTTTCAAATAATATTTAGTGTACGAAGACGAACTATTTTTACTGTACCGTACACAAACAATTTCTCTGGTTGGGCTTGTTTAATATTCGGGGAACACAATAGAGAAATGACGATATTGACCATCTTACACAAATAAAGGATATATACGTCAATACACAACAACCCAACGATAAGAAATATTCAACAGACATGTAGAGGGTCATATACAGGCTCCATCAATAGACAGGAGTTTAAACAAGATGACAAGCTTTAAATTGTCCCGAAACTATAACAGTTGTTATTCTAGACCTCGTGCGATTGCAACAGAACTTTACTAAATACTTCCTCCCAATAACTCTTAGATACTCTTTCTTTGATCGAACAATTCTTTTTTCTTGTGATTCCTTTTATCTTTGTAATGTATTTTCTATAGACATATAATAATAAGAAGATGAAACGGACATTCAAACTCTCAACAAGATACCAAATGACATAGAATGCCCATTCAGATTTTAAATTCAAATTTTATGTTATTACATCTAAACTAACGTTGCGATTCCCCTAAGCTTAATTGAAATTACATTTTGTCATTTTTTTCCAGTTCCATTTTTACTTTTAATGCGCATGTCATATTCTTGAAATGGCCATTGGTAGTATATAATTTACGTCGAATCTACGAGAAACGTGATGTTTTTATTCTACCAATTGTCAACTTCCCATTTCTCAGCAGATGTATCATAATGCGTTTATATATCTCGTTTAATACTTTACGCCACTGGGTGATCACATTATACGGACTTGACTATCAATGGTGTGATCCTTACACAAAAACTGCTTAAACAGATTTATGAGGAAGAACGACTGAAATCGACACTACAGAAGTTTTACGGTTACCATCCCAAATTGGTTGACCGATACGATGTGTCGGTGCCTCAACTCACCAATGATATGTATTACTGGTCTTAGATCTTTAGATACTAGTATAATCGTCTGATCTGCAATTCAATTATCCTCGATTGTGGCATTTTGACTGAGTGTTATATCGTATGGCAGGTGATTCTATACATAACAGGAGTTACTTACCCTATCGTCACACCCGTTCTCGCTCCTTTGGTGTTCTTGCAATTTCATCAGTTTGTTGTGTGTTATTTTGATTTGGCTCGTTTAAATATATTTCAAAGATTTGAACATACATAAACTAATGCCGCCTTAATTTATGATGCTACAAATGCGTTCGTTTAAACACACGCTTATCAATTTATGACGCATTTGGAACATTTTGACATATTTGGATTTGCTCTAAAATATGTATTTGTCTTCCAATGTATAAGGTGTTGAGAGTTTCTGGTGAAGTTTTATGCTGAAAAATATATCGAGGCGGTACTTACACTTGTTATTCTACGTTGAGGTGAAGTGGACATTCACTCTCATGATATAGTCATATGTGTGGCGATAAATATTTCCTATTTAAGACTGAATTATTTTTGTTGCGTATTAAGACTATTTAATTTTCATTCTCCACAATGCATTAGATTCTGAAATGGCAAATTCAGGAAGGTGTTGATACATTTGTCATGTTTCCATATTTCGTCGTTGCCGGGACTGTCGAGAAAAAAATATAGGTTGATAATAATAACATGTTCGAGGGATTTATTATTATCTAATAGGAGGTTATCAGTTAGGAAATTGGAATATAAATGATTCATAATATTTTCATGATCGAAATCCTCATATACCTTATACATAAAATTGAGAATGGAAATGGGGAATGTGTCAAAGAGACAACAACCCGACCAAACAGCAGAAAACAGCCAAAGGCCACCAATGGGTCTTCAACACAGCGAGAAAATCCCGCACCCGGAGGCGGGCTTCAGCTGGCCCCTAAACAAAAATGAGTACTAGTTCAGTGAAAATAGACGTCATACTTAACTCCAAAACATATAAATGAACTAAAATTAAAAATTATACAAGACTAACAAAGTCCAGAGGCTCCTGACTTGGGGCAGGCGCAAAGGTGCGGCGGGGTTAAACGTGTTTAGTGAGATCTCAACCCTCCCCCTATACCTCTAGTCAATGTAGAAAAAACAAACATAGAGCAATACGCACAGTAAAACTCAGTCCTTGTTCTACATTCTTTTCATATGTGACAACGACTAGTGTACTCACAGCAGACATCCTGAAAGTTGTATGTTTATACTAGCGACCCATGGAGAACAGGTTAGGGAACGACCTTGAAGTGAACAGATATAAGGGAAAGTGACATAGAGTCTTACAGATCACATTATAATGCATCAACTTGCATGTTTAATACTTTTGATCAGCGGTCTCTTATTGGGAACGGTTTTTACAATTTTAAAATAAATATTTATTAACTGACTCGCAGAAATTTAGAATAATATTAGATGTGTTTTGGCATATAACAAAGGACCTAGTGTATATATTCGTGACGTCACATGATAATAGAATGTATTTCTGATCCATTCAAAATTGCATACAAAAAGCATTTGCCAATACACGCAAATAAAGTTTATGATTGTAAGAAGAAACAACCTGTATAATTCAAACAATGCCTATATTTATCAAATTGTGAAATATATGATGCAAAATTAGCAATTATTTTACTTCAACTAATAATATACACTAAGTTTGTACAGCTGCAGGTATTGGTCTACCTTGACCTAGTACATAATCACTCATCCATTCTGGTAAATTCCAAAGAATCCGAAAAAGTAGTTTTGCATCATTTCCAACTAGATAGCGATGATGTGGATGTTTTGCTGTTAGCGCATGAATATACGCTTCGTAAACAAGGTGAACTCTTGGTGACCCTACATAATTAATTCCTGTCCTAATACGCTTCTTTGCTGAAAAGAAACGAAAAAATAATTTTAGTCTGGCTTTAAAAAAAAATTGAGGGTTAGGGAGGACAGGGTAAAAACAACGCCTTGTTCTCCTTGTTCTTACTGTTCTGCCGCCTATGAGATTACAACTGTCAAATTATGCAATCATACTATTTCATATTTACCCACAAAGACTTAGCTCTTATTTGCAGATGCTAAATGGTATGAAGCTGATAATATATTGGGATATACAAATCATTTGAATACTGTTAACATTCACGCTATTATTAATGGATGGATGGCCGTATGATGATAGAGTTCATTGTTTACGCATGTTTGTGTAATGTAGTAAAGAAATATTTGTCGGTTAAGCTCATACATCATAATATTTTACAAAATATTCAGATCAAAAATTTACTAAAAGAAGATTATTTAGAAAAATAAGTTACTTGCCTTTTTCAACATACTCCTTTCCGTAATATATCTGCATGTGTGTTGATAAACTGTTAAACTTGTTTGTTAATGCATTACAAATTGTATCAGGATCTGCTATATTTGTTCTAAAGTATCCGGGTTCTATAATATGCACCGTTACTCCTCTTCGATAAAGTTCACGCCTATAATAGAATTATCCAAATATTCAATTATAACCATAGTTTACGAATTTCATTTAAATAGTCTTAATTGAAAACGATAGAATTTTTCAATACTTTTGCAAATTTAGTTTATATCATGCTTTTTCAAGAATGTAATAAAAAGTATTGGCCACGGAGCTCTTTTTCAAGCTGAAGGTTTTGCAAAATTGCCATATTATAGCTTGAAATATCAATTTTGTGTGAATAAAAAAAAAGATTAACAATTAAAATGTGTGAAATAAAATGAGAAGATTGATTGACAACATATTTGTTACGTTTGGAGGCGTGCTTATTAACAAACAATCGGCATTCCAATGGGAACCAACTGTGCCCCATTTCTTGCCGACTTGTTCCTTTATTCATATGAGGCTGACGTCAAACAGAAACTTTTTAAGAAGAAAGAAAAGAAGTTAGCAGTATCCTTTAACTTCACTTTCCGCTATATAGATGATGATCTCTCACTAAATAATTCAAAATTTGGTGTCCATGTTGAACGCATCTATCCCATCTAACTTGAGATAAAGGATAAAACAGATAGGTTAAGTCTGTCTCACATCTTGACTAACATCTAGAAATTAACAATGAGAGTCGGTTGAAAACAAAACTTTACGACAAAAAGAAATGATTTCAGCTTCCCAATTGAGAACTTTCCATTTCTATGTAGCAACATTCCTGCAGCACCTGATTACGGAGTATTTATCTCCCAGTTGATACGATATTTTCTTGTATTTCCTATGATTTCCTTGATAAAGGGTTGCTGCTATTAAACCAAGAGTTCCAAGTGGTGAAGTCGAAATCATCCTTTCGTAAATTTTACGGACGCCATCACGAGTTGGTTGACCGTTATGGAATATCTGTTTCACAGATGATGACGAATATGTTCGATTTGTCGTAACTACAATCCCGTCCCCTTTTCCCCAAATGTGACTTACCGAATTATACTTTTCACCGGATTTCTACTAACATGAGCAACACGACGGGTGCCACATATGAAGAAGGATCTGCTTACCCTTCCGGAGCACATGAGATCACCCCCTAGTTTCTTATGGGGTTCGTGTTGCTCAGTCCTTAGTTTTCTATGTTGTGTTTTGTGTACTGTTGTTTGTCTGATGGTTTTTTTTCTCTTTTAGCCATGGCGTTGTCAGTTTATTTTCGACTCATGAGTTTGAATGTCCCTTTGGTATCTTTCGCCTTTCTTTTATAGGTCTTATAATGTGCTTTCAGAAAAAAGGGGAAAATGTGGTAACGGGCCTCGTTTTCTTTTTACAAAACATCGGTATATTTACTCTATATTCCTTTTTAAAAGTCAGATTATCTGAGTTGTCTCCATTTATTTTGCTAAGCTTAACATTAATGAATTTTTAATTAAAAAAAAAACAAGTTTAACACACGATTTTCGTTATCTAAATGTAACGTCAATCATAAATTCTGGACGTTAAGCAACCAACAATCAATCAATCAATCAATCAATCATAAACTAACTGCATTCATCTAACTAATTTTGCACATTTAATTAAAGATGTAAACATACAATGTATGTTTTTTTTTTTTTTTTTTTTTTTTTTTACTATAAAAATGGCGGAAGACATACGCTCTACCGTACGAAAAGAAGGATTACTTACAATATAACTAATCGACGTATTTGAATATCAAAAATAAGCACACGCGTGACCGAACGACGCATGGATTAAACGAGTGCACGAGTGAAATCGTTAGCGGCGTTTGGTAACAAGATTGTCACTTTTAAACGATTGATGCAAAATTTGCATTTATTGTGAATCAAATTGTTGTTTAAAAGGCACCGGACTATTAATTGTTGACACACTTTATCAATTACTTTTAAGTGTCAGCTAGAAGTTTCAAGTGAGGGTGCGACAAAAGGCAGGGAAAGTTTCGAGAGTGAAAATAAACGACTTATTTCAGATCTGAGATAATCGGAATTTATCACAACGGGAAATAAATCACCATCACCTATATAATAAAAATATATAATTGCTAGCGTTTCTAGGCTTTCATGTACAGGTTCACTGACCTGCATTACCAACCTAAGATGGTTAGTCTTTCTGTAAAAAGAAATTACCGGAAGAATCATGTAACTGAAATAATATAAGGTCGGACAACTTAAAGCCATTTTGTTTTAGAAATCAAAGTTCGTTTTTGTTAATATCCTTTTGTCGTGGTTCGGTACTTATGCATCCCACCATTGTGTTGTTGTGCTATGGTAAATTTTGTATTCTTGTCTTTCATTTTTGCTTATGAGCTTTGTCTATAGAGTGTCTACATGCCATTTTGTTTTGCTTTGTTGACATTGTTGTTTGTTTTTATAGTGATTACGATAATAACACAATGTTGACTGCTGTACCCACTTTTTTTTTAACATTTTTACCTATTATGTATGTTTTGTTTTGCTCACACATTGTTGTCAATATAATGGAATTTTACGCGACTGTCATACAAGTGAGCGGTTTAGCTAGCTATAAAACCAGGTTTAATCAACCATATTCTACATACGGAAATACCTGTTCAAAGTCAGGATTATTACAGTTGTTTTCCATTCCTTTGATGTGTTAGAGCTTTTGATTTTGCCATTTGTTAAGTGACTTTCCGTTTTGAATTTTACTTGGAGTATTTTTGTTATTTTACTTTTTACTCATGAATGTCAAAAGCACTGCCTCGATCTTGCTGCAAGATGTGAACTCTATCTTCAGTTGAGGTAAGCTAAATTTTGAATCATTGGAAAACTTTGTGCTGTGGAGTAGTTTGACAACGTTTTCTAGTGAGGCAGATGATTTTCTGATTTGGAATCAAGGCTTCAGTGCCGTTCAAAGACCGATGCGACTGAATAGTGGATGATTTAAATGCAAAACTGGCATTGCAAAGCAGGTACTAGCATTTACACTTGCAATTTTATAATTATTTCATGAATATTCAGGTCGATAACAAATCCACATTAATCCAATAGATTTGCACAAAAGAGATTATTTCAGTTTCCCCAATTGTGAACTTTCCATTTCTATTTAGAAACATTCCTGTAGCGCCATGTATATGGATTATATATCTCCTTGTTGATACGATATTCCAGAGCTTACGTTTCTTATCATGATTTTCTTGATATAGAGTTGCTGCTAACAACGAAATTATTAAACCAAGGATTCCAAGTAGTAAATTTAAAGTCATCTTTACGGACGCCATCAAAATAGAAAAGAAAGGATATGGGGTATCCATCCATGACACAAAACCAGTGCATGCACTGCAAAAAAACTCAAAAAGTAAAGGAACGGTGCTTTTATTACTGTTCTTCATCTCAAAGTCACAGCCAGGCCTTCAACACAAGTTGGTTGACCTTCATGGAATATCAGTTTCACAGATGCAACGGATATCTTCCAATTGTCGTAACTACAATCCCGTCCTTTTCTTAGAATGTGATATAACCGAATGAGACTAAGCACATAATTTGTACTTATATGAGCAACACGACGGGAACCACATGTTGACAGGATCTGCTTAGCCTTCCGGTGAACCTGATACCATCCCGATTTTCGATAAGGATCGTGATCCTCAGTCTTTCGTTTTGTGTTGTGTATGTTTTGATATATAAATTGTTGTCGTTTTTTCGTCTTTTTTTTTTTTTTGTTCTTTTGCTATTACATTGTCAGTTTGTCGTTAACTTAAAAAAAAAGAGTTCGAACATCCTTTTGGGATCTTCCGCCTCCTTTCTGCAGGATGATAAGCATAAAAGGCAGAATTTTCTATTTCAATTGGAAAAAGAGGGCATGTTAGACGTCCTGCAAAAGGCCTAATTTGACCCTTTAGAATTGTTATAAGGGTTCCTGTATGTTAAGATTGTGGCTGTCTCCCTACGCGCCATATTCCTACCATTTCTCTTTCCGACCGGACGGGGCTGTGTATTTATATGTCCTGTAAAGCCAAAGGGACACCCCTCAAGCATGGGTTTAACTGACAGAGGTGAGGCAGAAGTCAAGGGCTGACAATATCTATATACCCCACTCAGCCCTTGGTGTTCATTCAATACAAAAACAATTTATAAATATTCCAATAAGTAAATTTAAAATAAAAAAGACCAGAATGGCGGGCAGATCGTTTGGACTGACACCGAGAAGACATGATATGTTTTATCAGGACAGAAATATTGAGCTGCACCGGATCCACGTTGATTGGTCTCACATTGACAAACAATTCTTGTAAATGAAACATCCAGATTCGTGCATTAGTTATATGTAACAACGGTATAGATGTTGTTTTGCTGGTTAAAAATTAATTTGCGGTCTTCAAAACTATTGATTCCAAGTCCATCAAATTGAGAAATTCTCTTCCAAATTGTGTTTCCGAAAGAGTAATAATCATAAAAGAAGATCAAGTTCTTATTTTAACTTTATAAACAGTGAAAAGATTAATGCATTTCAATATTTTTGCGTAAATAGTTAGAGATAGCTACTTATGACATATGTTACTTAGCCTACCTTAACACATCTGAATATCCTTCGACAGCATATTTTGAAATCGTATAAGGTGCCGGGGCCATAGCTATTCTCCCCACTATGCTTGACATATTAATAATACGACCGTTAGCTTTCAGAAGTAGTGGGAGAAAAACTCGACACATCTCAATCATTCCGAACGTATTTACTGCTAACGTTTCCTGATAGTCCTCCCTTGACAACCATTCTACTGGTGCCGGTGACCCAACTATCCCAGCATTGTTCACCAATCCCCACATTCCTGTAACATAAACAAAAATGAGCATATATGGTTTTGTTTAATACATTAAACCGTACACTTTAAAAATAAAGTATTTAGTTGGTGTCCTTAGACATTGGTATTGACTACATCTGTATAATAAAGTATTGTGGGAGATAAACTTATCATTAGATGGAGAGTCGTCTCATTTGCACTTATACCACATCTTCTAATTTATATTATCAAAGATACGTGGGATTAAAATGTTGCACGACAAACGTGCGTTTAGTTTTACAAAATCGCTTGAATCAAAAAAGTTAAAAAAACATGATCATTAAAAGAAAACTATCCTGTTAACTAACAGAAGCATTCGTTTTCAGTTTCATATGAAGAAATGCTTTGTCATAATTTTATCTAAAGATCTAATACTAACAAATGAAGTATAATATTATTCACCTGTATCTTTTGGTAATGATGCTATAACATTCACTAGTGCACTGTTTATACTTTCTGTTTTGGAGACGTCTAACTGAATTGCTTGAACTGTATCTGAAGTTTCTTTATTAAGCATGTCTATTCCTTGTTGTGTAAAACAACCAGCGAACACATGGAAACCCAAATCATCTAATCTTTTCGCTAATAAATTTCCAAATCCAGAATCACACCCCGTTATCATAACATAACGATGTCTATAGTTTCCTACTGTTTGACGATTGCGGAGCCATTTCCATGTAAACAACAGAGCTATAAATGACGTGATTACTAAAAACCACATAGCTACAGGAAAATACTGTGTTGTCAAAAATGCATAAGTTGCAAGTAAAGGAACTGACCTGAAATTATAATTTATCATCATACTTTATTTCCTTCTATTGGAGATTGACAAAAGACAACATGCATATATTACTTACAATTATAAAATTTTGAAATCATAAAATTAGAAATGTCACTTAATATTTTAAATGGAAAAATATTTACATTCTTCAGTATTTTAGAAAGGAACATCCTTCGTTAAGGACTTCCAAACAATGCTCTGGTGTTAAAATGTCCCAGAGATCTTCCTGATTGCCAAACAGAAAACCTGAAATGCTCACTAGTCAATTCTGTTAATCTATTATATAGTAAGAGTCTCTGTGTTTGAAGTTCTGTGCACAGACTTAGTTGATTGTTCAGGGTATCTTAAACAAAGTGTCCACACAATTTGCATTTTCCAGAGTCGACATGTTGCGATCGCATTAACATTTTATTGATTTTGTAACATGCTTAGATTTTGCAAAACTTTTTTTTTTGTAAGGATTGTTATTTTGCAAAAGATACTCTTTTAAAAGGTACGATTTTGACAAGTGACATTGTAATTTACAGCAAAAGAATACCATTACAGGCGTAAATGATTCAAATGTCGAGTAAAATGGCTATCATATCCTGTTCATCAAAAGAAAAAATTATTAGTTCAACATTTTGACAAACCTTTTTTTGAAATCAAAGAAAAATAAGGAAAACTTTAAAGAATTTTAAAAATCACAGCTTTATCAAAAACAAAGTTATCTACAGGCAAGAAAGTGACAAATACGAGTTTAAAAATATGGAAGCCTGATGCAAGTCTTCAAAAACAAGGAAGAAATTGATTGTTCCTGTTTTGAGACGCATTTCTACCCGGCACACATTGTTAGAGACATCAAGCAAAAAGGTGACTATGACATGATTTTCGACTTTTTCTAAGTTCTTTTCCTTTAGATATATGTCTAAGAAACGCATAATTTTAACAGAAAATGAATAACAACATGTAAATTTAAGAATTATACTGTTACTGTAAAGAACCGGTGCCTTATCTAGTTTTAAAGGTAAATCAAAAATGTTGATTACAATCGTTGAACCTTCATTAACTTTCCTCTAATATATATATATATATATATCAAAATTAGCTGATCTCAAAAACCTTACAATCACAATCATAGACCACAACGAGGGTTGGTCACGGGCCGAAAGACTTGCTCGGGAAAGGTTTTGGATAAGAAAGCTAAGGACAGTTTCCCCAGAGGGCATTAATGAAAAAACATAGAATGAGTCACTCATTTTCCCTACCATCACTCATTTTCCTGACATCATTTGTTTCCAGTTACTCCGGCTTCTTTACTTGACCCTTACAGTTTTAAGGATTCTTTTGGAATTTTTTGAATTTTACTAGTTAAAATACCAGGGTTCTTTTCATTTGGTAGGGATGTACAAGTACGCATCCACGTCCAATTTTTTAACCTTATCCCAAATTTACTCTTATTTTTTCTTTTCATTATAAAACTGCTATTTATTTGGGATGATAAAAGCCTCTGTTTGACATATTTTACCAGCTTATATCGATCAGTGCTGTTTTTTGGGGGGAATGTATTTACACGCAGTTGTTGTAACATCTTAACTGACGTCATTTTGGAATTTTAGAGTTGTGCCAGTTCATATCTCTAATTACTATTTTCATTTTAGGCATGTCTTTGAGTCGTTTTTTGGAAATTTTAAAAGTTTATTAGCGTCTCTACGTATGATGTTCGGGTGAAACTGTTTCACTTCTTTTATTGTATAGAATTCAAGATTGCTATAGTTTAATAATCAGAATAGATTGATCTGATTCATTTTACATCGTGCTCATACTACTGAAGGATATCTGTTATCCGAAATATTTATAGTTACATTTGTTCGTTTATTGTCATTTTTAGGTGATGTTGCACCCTTTTAGACTGGTTATATATTATATTTTGTAGTGTACTGTATCGTACTTATATGATCCATCGCCCCGTAAGATTTATCGTTGGCTATTATTCAGTCATTATATATGTATATATATATATATATATATATACATTTATTTATTTGATACACTTAATTTTTATTCATCAAATTTAGAGCCTGGCTACATTCCTTGACTTCAGCCGTCCGACAGTAAAACCCTTGTCAAATTTGGCAAGTTGGTCGTCCGTTTGGTTGCCCGGGAGGTGTAATTACACATTTAGGAGAGACCGGTTGGAATGGGGACCTTCAATCCGATACCTAGTAAAGGGTGAATGCCACAATGTCTGAACATCAAAAACAAGTCGCTGCGGGGTCCGTTGGTGGCTTTTGTCTATGCCAAATGTTAGCCCTATCCAAAATATTCTTATTAATGAAAGTCACAAATTTCCCGCATTTTACCTACAATTAAACACTTTGTATTTTCTCGTTCTAGTAAGCAAGAATCAATTGCTACTGCATGTAAGCAAGCAACAATCAAGCATTGCCAGATTATGTTTAATTAATGTCGTGAAATAAAAAGATATGGGATAGCTATCCATTACACTAAATCAGGACATGCACAGCAAAAACCAAAAAAAGCAAAGGAACAGCGCTTTTTGTTTGCTGTTCTTCACTCAAAAGTCACAGTGATGCCTACAACACGGAGCAAAACCTCTCACCTCACTGCAATTTAAGACAGCCCCTAGTACCGGTTGAGCGGAATTCTTTGCAAAGTAACGCTCACGCCACAAATGTTTATTGAAGAACACAGCCATGGAGTAATATCAATAAAATAAATCTGGCAAAGAAATCAAACATTAACTGTGATAATTTAGCCCGACAATCACACTGAAGCGTGCAAAAACAATACAAACATTTCGACAACCACGGTTATTATAAGGATCTACTCACAGGGGTCTCTTCCTATATAAAGTTATACATAGACGTGCCGCTGGTTATGGGTCACTTTTTATGAATGTAAAATATATCAATGGGGTGCAATTTCACAGAGGTCACATATCAATCGGTAGAAATGTATATGTCAATGGGTCATACATGTTCACATTCTGTTAAGATGTCTGTCTCATTGAAATGTTATGTCATGATAGCAGGGAGATATATATAGATGGGTTGTGATTTTTTTATGAAATACATTAATGGGTAGGAATTTTCGCATAAATCAATATACGAATGGGGGTGTTTTTCACACAGTAGCCGGACGTCTGTACCCAAATTCGTAAGTTGATGACCCTACACCCCCACCCCCACCTCGGTGGATCTGGTCCGATATTCAGGTCTTCAAACAACCAGGTCGAATGAGTGATGTTGGTAAAAGCATTTCCCTTTTAATTATGAAATACATGTTTCTCAATGCTTATTTGTGACTCAATTTGTGACACAAAAATTGTCACTTACCTGTAATGCACATTTATATTTGTCGTAAAGTGTAAATTATAAACACAACCTGGGTAAATAAAAGTGGGTAATATAATGTGTAAAACATGTGTGATAGTTGACGGAAATAAATGTTTGACTAAAAAACATGTGTACTTGCTTTTAAATTCCGCATGACTGAATCTGTATAATAATTTTATGAAATTGCTTTTTCATGTTATATAGTCATGTATTCATTCATCACGAGAGGAAAGGACACTTTCACATGATTGTATAGCCCCTTACTATGCAGGATACAAGACCACGCGTTTTGATTTGTATATTTAGTTACCCTTATCGTAACATAATAACAGTAAGTATGTATGTGTATCGTTAGTCAATGACCTAAATTCATTATCAACAGTTACATATATATGTTACAGTGGTATACATATCTGTCTCAAGATAATGTCAGTTTTTCGTACAACTAGGTCCAGGGTGTCTAATATAAAAAACGGAGATGTATGATTGATTGATTGATTGATTGGTGGTTAACGCCGCTTTCATCACTTTGTTTTGTTTGCCTTTTTTTTTTTTTTTTTTTGGGGGGGGGGGGGGTTGTAGTTTGAAGGGGTTTTGGGTTTCTTTAATTTTATTAGAGGATGTTTAAATAAAATTATACTACTTACCAATGTATTAAAAATGAAATTTCCTAACTACCATAACAGTTATGTCGTTAAGACAACTTCATTAATTATTTTATGATGTGCTGAAGTGCTTTTGCGCCACATTTTATTTTCAAACGGTAATTCGTAAGTTTGTGCTAAATTTTACTTGACGATTGATGATGACATCGTTGTATTTATAGTGAGATTGAAAGTGACAATGCACTTCTTAATTTTCCACGGACTCAAAACTTCTCTGTTATGATGTAGAAAATGAAAGCAACATTTTATAAATTCCATGCGTCCGAAGCGCTTTTCTGAATTAACCTTCGTCAGGAACGCTCAAAGCCGAACGATGTAAAAGAACCGAAACAGTTGAAGAGCTGTATGGCCAAACAGGACCTAAAAATAAGAGTCAAATCCATCTAAGGTCAACTTTGCCCTTTACTATACACTATCTACATCAAATCCCTCAATAAAAATGCAATGCGTCGTAAGAAGCAGACATAATTAAAAAAAAAAGTGAGCATTTGCTTAGCCTTTTAGCCTAATTGTGTCGTCTGATTGTATAAAGCCTTTTCTTTTTATCTGCTGTTTAATCACTTTTAAAATGTGCTATATGATATATTTAACTCCACAATTGATAACTGCCGGTCCGTTGCCTTGATAAAAGTAGGGTGTGAAATCCTGTGATAAAATTAAAGTTTTATCCAAGAGTTGGCACAGTCTTATATTTTTTTAAGTATATGATAATAAGCCTTTTTAAATCAGTTGCGCAGATGCATTATTGGTTCAAATGAGTTGTGACACAAAAGGGCGCATTTGTTGCGCAAATGCATGTTTTTTTAATAAAGTTCATCGTAATATTTCTACACAGTTCCTCGGTCAATATTTGAATTTATATGTGACTAAATAGCGAAATGCTTTTATCACTTGCGTCTATATACGTGTATAAACTTTTCAATTTTGTCTTGAGATTTGCCTTTTAAATGGCTAGTCTTTAATGCTCTTACATATAAAAAAATATATTCCATTTAACTACACCCTGGATTCAAACTTTAAATTATGAATTTCTGTGTATTACTGTTTTGATATTGCCTGTGTGAGTTTAATTTTTATTTTGTTTCATCAACTATACCGGTATTATATAGTTATGTGAATTTCCGTATCAGATTTTTATTGTTCGTTCTTCTATATACCTTTTGTTTTTCAAAAAAAATAGAGGTCTATAAAAAATAGTTTTAGCCCGCCACTGCATGTACATATTCATGTTCCTGTCCAAAGTCAGGAAGTCCTATTAGATATTTTTTTTGTTATATTTATTAGAAATTTGTTTATTGATGACAAATCTTTGATAGTCCCTCTAAGGTATTCACATAATTTCAAGAAAAAACACTGTCAGTGTAACTTGAGTTAACCAATCTACATAAATTGTAGATTTTACTTTTCTTCTATTAAACTTTATTTTTTATTGTTTGATTATTTCTCTGTTGTTTGTTTGGTTTTTTTTTGTTATTTTTTTCGTGTTTGTGTTGTTTATTGTTTTGTTGTTTGGATTTTTTTTTTTGGGGGGGGGGGGGCTTAAATAAAAGGTTTTCATGTATAAATTACAATATTGCGTTATCATAGAGAGAATGTAAGGGAAATAATTACGTTTTAATGTATAAGCAAGTACAATTTAACACATTTGAGAAATACAAATGAATAAAACTAATCGTTTCGAGTCATCACACGTTTTTTGAATATTTAACGATAGCCATCTACAAACAATACTTAAATTATGTAATAAAAAATAGACATAAACTTAAAACAAACAATACTCGTGATTGTATACAGCATCACCATATATCTTACTGAAATATAATACCGGAAAACACCAGATGCAGTGATTGAACACCAACTTTAAAATTGTAATCATTACAAATTCGCCTCCTTAGAGTCCAAATAACTGTTGGCAATTTCATTATTCGTACCCCAAAACGAAAATTTAATTAGATTACATCAAATATTTGACAAATTTAGAATTTTATATGCCCTGGTGAAAATGATTTTACTCCATTGAAATCTAAGACATCAATGTAAACATGCAAGTACCTTTCCAACTGAGAGATACACAACAAGGTTAAATCACAATCGAGAAAACAAACACAAAAATAAAATCATAGAACATGTCTTTCGGTCTATCTTTTTAAATGGTATAAAGATTACCATAAGAAAACGAAAGTGTGATTTTGTAAGAGTAGGTAGAGGTGAATAAATTTCCTTTGTACATTTGCAATGCAGCATTTCTGCACCTGTCTGTCTTTTGTTGAAGAGCGCAATCTAGTTTACCTTTATTTTAATTTTGTTCATTTTGTCGTTTGGTTGCTGTTTCATTGACGTACACTTCGTATATTTTACTCATATTAGAAAAATAAAGATTGTTAACAGAGACTACGACCTCTTTTGTCTGCAGGTTTTACCAAAACTATAGATTGATTGATAATTCATTTGGTCTGTTTATTAAAGTAAGCTTATTACTACGATTCATAACAGTAAAGAAATAAGTTGCTATAAAAAGGCAGAGCTAGTCCACACAAGAATAGCAATCTTTTGGTGGTATACTTTATCTACAAAACGATTTTAATGATTATAACACAAAAAAAACTTATAGCTTTAATCATTTCTTGGGGCCTCGGTGGCCGAGTGGTCTAAGTAGTTACTACTGTAACCACTAGCCAGTCAACACTGAGGTTGTGGGTTCGAACCCCGCTCGTGCGGGTGCACTCGACTTCAATCTTAATTGACTAGGATTGTCAGTTTTCCTATCGAAGGTCGGGGTTTTTCTCCGGGCACTCCGGCTTCCTACACCAATTAAAACTGGCCGCCACGAAATAGCCCAAAAGCGGTGCTTAAAAGTGGCGTTAAAACACCAAAAATCAATTCAAATCAAATTAATCATTTCTTTGAAAGTCTAATGAAAGTTGTTTTGGTCATCTATCTCTTCATGTGTCTTTGGTCATCTATCTCTTCATGTGTCTTTGGTCATCTATCTCTTCGTGTGTCTTTGGTCTTCTTATGCCTTCAGATGTAAGGGTTTGAGTGTTCCTGGTGAAGGTATATCCAGAAAAGCGCTTCGGACGCATGAAATTAATCAAGTGTTTATCATTTAGTGAAATTTTGTCAACGAAATAAAACTAATCTTCAATGGAACTAATCTAAAGAATTCTAAACACTGCTGAAATAGTTAAATATAATAAGCTTTGTCACAATAACGTACTAACAAGTTTCTTGTGCGACAGCACAAGTTACATAACAGAACTATTTACAGTTGAACATTTAGATCATACAGATATAAAACAACATTGTAAGGGTCGTTGTGTAATTGAGACAGACACAGCATAGTAAGAAACTTGTGGTGTCCAGTATCATCATTGAACTCATTCGTTATTACTATGTTTTCCTCTGTGATCTTAAGTAGAAGTAATAATAGATGAACTAAATATAACTTGAATTTTTATTTTTGACTATAAGTAAGAATAGTGCTGACGTCAAGGAACGACGATACTGTGCATGCGTTGCCAGCTGTTATTATCACGTCTCTCTTTATGGTATAACTATATATTGTAACATGAATGGTAATTTTTCCTTTCATCTTCGAGTGAGTTAAATTCTGTTATTTTTAGAGGAGTGCGTTAACTGAATGATTATTTAGTTATTGCATTCTGCCGTGTGTCGCTTGTCATAGGAAAAGCATTGAATGGGAGGAGCTAACACCAGTGCTCTAACTTCCATCTCAAAAGTTGTTATTTCACTGTCTAGCTCCGCCTCCTTGGCCTAGTAAACTATGAAATCAATGACCATAAAATGTCTTAATAAATTTAAACAAAATGCATACACAGCAATATATCAAAAACAAATCGAGAAAAAATGGGGGGAGGGGGGGTGGGGTGGGGGGGGGGGGGGGGGGGGTGGGGTGAAGTGAATAACCTGGTCTATAAAGGAAGAGGCGATATTGATAAATTGGTGGATACTTGTTTTTATCGTGACAACATAAATATTCCAAAAAAAATGTCACTGAAATTTTAGTCGTTTAATTTCCTCCACTTAATGAAAGAATAATACAAAATGTATTGTAACATGAATCTTTTTCCAGATCTTGAACCATTTATAAACTGGTGGCATAAACCGGTAAATGATATACCTAATAAAACTTTAAATATTCTGAAGACGGGCACAACTATAATTGAAGTCCTAGAGCGAAAGCATAGGCGAACCCTACCCTAGATTTAGACAAAAGGAACGGTTAACGTAGTTGGGTTGCTGGCTAATAGATACAACGTCCTGTCAAGGGTCCCTAGACAGAATACAATCTTCGTTTCAATAGTAGTATTACCTTCATAATTGGTATTAGAAAATGTTTCCTTCTTATCACAACAATAAAACTCCTTTGAAACTACACGCCATTTTCGAGTTGGAGGGCAGATAAACATCGAATAAAATTTTGCATCACCCTACTTTTTTGGGGGGAGAAAAAAAATTCAATAACACGTAAATGGCTATCGAGCCTGAATCCCACGGCAACAATTCATTTAAATGTACCTGTATCTGACAAACAAATCCAACTGACATCAGCTGCATGTGTTAATTTTCTGGAAATCAGATATAGTATCACGCCACTATTTGATTGACATATTGAAAAGTACAGTAAAGTTTTATTGGTCAGCATTTAACCTTTGACGTGTGTCATAGCCCATTAATGTTACAAATCATATATAGCCGTGCTTTACTCATTAACATATTTAATCAGTCAAAGCTACGCTTTTCGTGAATTAAATATGTTAATTCGTAAAAGGCGTGCTATATATATTTAACTTGTTTTTATAAATGTCGTAAATATAAAGTCATGTATAGGTTTGATTAATAGCAATATAATGACAAAATTTTAATTTGTATTGTCAAACGAGAAAAAAATTTGTAATAAATTAATAGTCAAATGATAATTTGACATGTTCTATGAAAATTTGAATCCTGTCGTTTATACTCCGTGGGTAGTCAGTGTTCATTAGTTGTAATCAAATATTTCTAACCTAGATGTCAAAGGTTCCAACCAGTATAGACGTGTAGTTTCAGCGCATGCGTAACATACATATGCAGTGCCCGAACCTTATAGGTAAATACTTATATTGTCTTGAACATAATTATCTTTATACGCTTTCAAAGACCGCAAAAATAAAATCAAAGAAAATTATCATAAACTTGCAATTGCAAGCAGTCATTAGATTTTAGAAATAATCTTTTATATTTCCATTAATGAAAATAAATTATAACGTTAAGATAAGTCTAATTGGCATATTGGATCATCTAAAGTATAAGATTGTTTCTAGACTTTCATCTTCTAACGTCTAATAACTATCTTTTTTTCCGAAGTTGAAAATTGAAAAGAGTTGATGATGGAATTTCAAAGAACATACATATAATAAAACGGTCACCAAAGCAAGACAGCCCTTAGATTTATAGAATAACTAATCGGAGAATTCAAATAGAGAAAAATATTCAACGAGTGACCGAACAACACATTAATTCACGAATGCGCGTAGCGCATGAGTTAATTATCAGTGTTGTTCGGTCACGAGTTGAATATTTTTCGATATTTGAATTCTTTGATAAGTTATTCTTTTTATTACATTGGCAAATGGCTTTTTTTAATGAAATTAATGTAGACAATGTAAGGAGCTATATCTTTTTTCTACGCATTCACAATTTGTTTTGATCCGACGTTATCGACGTCTTGACAACGCCTATTGTTGTATGACGTCAGAGAGTGAAATAACCACGTTTATTTCACATGTGAAATTATCGGTTTTTATTTGACTGGGAAATCAATGTAATTCAATGCTACTAATATAATAAATAGATATACATATAATAGATTCAAAAAATAATTTATTAAATATCTCAGCTTTTTTTCTTTTCTTTGTAAAAACAAATTAGAAGTAATTTCGTGAACATAAAACTGATTGACTTATACATGTACATAAATTTAGGCAGACTTATATAAAATAATTTTCTTTCCGGCAGATTGAAGGTTTAAAGATATATATGACCACCTACTGACTTTCGTTAATAAGAAATTGACTAAGAGTCAAAATTGCAACAAACAGACACGAACTTATTGTTTTTTATTTGTTTGAATACAATGGAATCCAATTTCTCATCAAGAAATATTTGCGCTACTGAAAACACTTCAACAGATAATTTCCAAGAAGGCTATGGTAGAGTCGAACGGTCGCTACAAACTGTTTTGGATGATATCGTTTTTTGGAATCATAGGATAACATGGGATAACATTGATTAAATTGTTCAAAAGAAAACTTTGGACTTCAGTTAACATACTTATTGTGATTATGTCAATGTCTGATTCACTTACTCTTCCGTTTATCACTAGTACGCAATAACAGAAGTTCATGGGCACGGACATTTATTGGCTGACTACACTGGTCAGAGATATTTTTATAACAAGTAGCTGCATCAGCGCAATGATAATTGGGTTGGAAAGTAGTTTTGCCATACGAAATCCTTTAAAATTCAAGGAAACATGGAACATCAGTCTAACGGGAAAACTGTATGTTGTCATACAAGTCATGATGGTAATAATTGTTATTGTAAAACACGTGTATACCAAGTTTGATGACCCGTTCTACGATAAATACTTGCATGTACCGTATTATATACTGTTTTGTGGAATTCCTTTCCTTGGTGACGAACATATTTCTTGTAAGTGAATTGGTAAAAAATAACATAATTTTGAGCAAGATGACAAATGAAAAATTAGAAAGGGAGACAATGCGACAGGAAGCAGCCATCACAATAATGGTAATGACTGTTACCAGTGTATACTTCATCTGCATGGTACCAGGTCGTTTACTAGCTGGTGTAATGAAGGCCGGCTTATTGCGCGACGAACGTCAATTGATATCTTTAACCCTTACTTACCTTGAACTTTCTAATTTTTCATTTAACATCATTAATTATACAATGACAAGTTCATTCTTCAGAGAAGGATACAGGGAGCTTATAAGTGCACGCTTTAAGTGCAGATGTAGTCAAAGATCAGTCAAAAGTCCGACCGAAATATTTTGACTTTGCGACGCTAGTATAAGTTTAAATGTATTTTTTCTAGTACATTACGTAAGCTGGCCATTTTTGAGTCTGTCAACATTGCATTGACTTAATGGTTAATCGTTATAACTAAGCATGTGATATTTGCCACTGGATGGCAGGAAACAACTAAAAATAATATTTTCTATGAAAAAGATAAACATGATTCGCTGTCCCCATTATTTATACTAGTCTCCGACATTTATTAAATATTTCGTCTCGTTTACATTACCTGAACTATTTGAGCAACGGGAACTCTCTATGGTGCAGCTTTATTGTAATATTTTAAAAACGGACAAAGAGATATTTTAAAGCAATTGATTGAAAAAATTAAAAATTTGTGTAAAGTAATCTAAATCGACATTGTGTAAGAAGCATGACATTTGAAATGTTGAATAAAAGTTAAAAAGTGGATTTTAATATTTTTGCTTAACCTCCTCTGAAAAAAAAGTTGAAGAAATATAAATAAATCCAGTTTAAAATAATTGATATGGTTTTTTAATTGAATGTATGTTATATTGGAAATTCGTGTCAATTGTTTTGAATTAAAAATAATCACTCTTTAATAATCAGAAATTTGCACTTAAATTTCGATTTGAATATAAAGCATTTCTGTAAAATCTTATAAGTTTATTTATGTGTGTTTTATAATATAATCAGATTTGGTCGCGATGTTTGTTTTATTGGTACAGCTAAAAAAAAAAAGGGAACTAACGCCTGACACTGCAAACGACGGAATCCTGTGATAAACTAGATCACCTTTTTAAATATTCTCCCAAATCATCATTCTTAAGCATAGTTTATTATTACTATATGTAACATTATTCTATCAGTACTTTACGTACTTTGATTTACTTTGATTCTAATAATTGAGCTGTTCCCCTTTTATAACAGTCTGAAATGATTTGTGTAAACTTAATGTTACTTTCGTGTATGAGAATACAAGTGAACACATTTGCTATTTATTTTATTTTTGCTATTTATCATTCTTTAATATTGCCATTTACGGCCCAAAGAACATTACAGTATATACCTAAATATGTTTTGTCTTTTATTTTTATGTCTTCTCTAATCTGTCATGTAGTGTTCTTTTTATCATTGATTTAAAACCGTCTACTTTAATGGTATATTCTTCTATTGAGAAGAAGAACAATGCAATGGAATAATGTAAAATAGAAGGACGAATAAACGCGTATTTTGAAAATTTACACTGACTAAGAGACTGGAAGTAAAAGTTTGCGAGAGTGTTCTTGTTTTGTCTTGTGACTCATAACGCTTATTTTCTTACATTAATCCAATCATTTCAAATGATTGATTGGGCTGGTCTACGATTCAAGAAACAAGAAAAACAAAAGTGCGAGTACTCCCAGATCTATGATTTGTGTCTTTTGTGTTTTTGTTATTTTTTCTGTGCTTTGTATCGATTTGATGAGTTAATCCGTTTTCAACTGGTTTTTATAGTTTGTTCTTATGCTGTACTGTGACACCACTTTCCCAAGTTAAGGGAGGGTTTAGCGCCAGCAAACATGTTTAACCCCGAAACATTCTGTGTGCGCTTGTCCCAAATAAGTAGCTTGTAATTTAGGGGTTGTCGTTTGTTGCTGTATATCATATTTGTTTTTCGCTTATTTTTTTGTACATAAATCAGGCCGTTAGTTTTTTCGTTTGAATTGTTTAACATTTTCTTTCGGGCCTTTAAAGCTTACTTTGCGGTATGAGTTTTGCTCGTTGTTGAAAGCCGTACGGTGACCTATAGTTGGTAACTTCTACGGAATTTGGTCTATGGTGGAGAGTTTTCTCATTGGCAATCATACCACATCTTCTTATTTTTATATCAATATCACCACACGGATTGTCTTACTGAACATTTGTGAGTTATGTCTTTATGGGCCCTCTTCTTTGATAGAACATTCCTTAAATACGTGCTCATTTAGGTCCGACTAGGTGAAATGATTTAAGTATTCAAAAGGGGTAATAAATTTGCTCAACTATAAATCTACCTTTTGTCATGGTAATATGTTTTAACTTGTATATATTATTTGTTCTTAATCAGAGGCTGAAAATATTTCGTTTGTTTATTATACAGTTAAAATTGAATATAATATTTTAAACATGCTACAAATTTACGTATGGGTAATTCATTCGTATATATCGATGTAATAATTTGTAAATCATACTATGAACAATAACAAATCAGTAATTAGAAAAACAATGTGTTGAAAACGAAGCTCTACAATTCGTTACTGATCAGAACTCCTAGAAAGGAAGATTGTGGGTAATTGTCTTGACTTCTAAAACTGTTAGCAGTCCCAAAACTTGTCGTTCTTATGAAAGCGTGGTCATTCTTTTCCATTCTACCCAAAGCTGTCATAGACGCTGATTGATATCCGCCATTTGTATCTGTATTTCCGGTTGAAGATATTACATTGTTCTCTATAACCAGTTCAGCTATTATATAACCTGTTGTTTCTGTTGAGACGGTCCAGGAGAAAAGGTAAATACCACTTTTTGGAGCTACAAAAATTCCACTGTTTTGATTGTAATGATGACCTTTGTTAATGACAACGTCCTCGAAAACCACAGTGGAATCTTTTTGTAGATCGAATCTCCGGTTCTTTATTATAGCATAGAACATCACTGGCTCTGAAAAAATATTATATTTAATGAACCGGTTGATTATTTTAATCTTTCTTGATTTTTTTCCTATAAAAATAAAATAAAATAAGTAGAACAATAAAATGATGAAACACAACTGTAAATGAGACACAAGACTATCAGAAATTCAAAACATTCAGAAAAAAAAGAAGAGAAAAGAAGTGGAAACATTTTCTCACCAGTAAAAAGGTGACATCAAAGGGATTTAACTTCGAAATTTACCATGATCACCATTTGCTTGGACGATGACACATTTACACCATGCAGAGTGTATGCACTGTCACATCATATGTTTCTCGATCGGTTTGTCACTGATAATCATATTTTATTGTCTCATTATTATATATATATATTCCACTCACGATAGAATTAATAATGCAAACAATTTATCTACAAGCTTTTTTTATTTAAAGAAAACTAAATACTTAATTACATACCTTTTTTATAATCTTCACACAGATTATGCAACATATTGTCATATTTTTGTAGACTTCTTTCAAGAACCGAGATTCTTTCATCTTGCAAAGTTTGTGTCGATATATTATTGCTTTGTAACGACACGCAAACAGTAAGAAAATTTCCCAAAATCGGGAAAAATAACTTTTTCTTCATTTCAATAAGCTATTGAAAAGTTTGAGTAGAACTGCGTTTATAAAATATATTTTCAGCGGCGTATTAGTTAGTAGATATTGTATATTCATAGACCGCTTCCTTCCGACATTGAAACGTTGATGATTTGTCAAGACACAACATTTAGTTTAAAAGGTAAACTACAGTAAATTATGTCCAGAAACCAGAGCAAAGATGGTAGATATACATGAGCTGTTAGAATGTGTAAACACAAAGTGTAAGCAGTTGTCAATAGAAAATCATGTTCTTCATCGTAATCAACTATGTTAGAGGATGGATAGAATTACTATTACTAGTATATTAAATGATGTATGCGTGGCGTAGTGGTTAGAAATTATCGTTATTACAGCCCGCCTCCTTCCAACATGAGATAAACAAAAATAGTACACTGATTATTATCTTTGCAGTCACTAAACATAAACGTTACTATTTACAAAAAATTTCGAAGAGACGTTTTCAACCTTACGATCAATAAACTTTGGTTCAATATGTTCTTTGGCAGTAGGAACCCTCTATCAATGACATCCTATAGAAAATGCTCTGCAATATCGTATCAATTGACTTTTTTTATATTACCGACTTTTGTCTCCGGATTATATAATTTTTCGACAGGTTACCTTCTCCGCGGTAAAACATTCTGGTACTCGGTCAAGTAAGCGCAACAAAAGAAGTATAATCAAACATAAAACCAGTGCAATTTGGGGGGAAATTTTACTGTTTTCCGATGATTTTGTCGTGAATAAAAAACATGAAACAGTAAATTTCTCCCCCAAATTGTACCGATTGTAAGCTTGATTTAACCAATATTATGCATTTAGGTATGATCCTTGAACGTTTAAACGATATGAATAAATGCATGTAACTGTTAATCTGCCAAATAAAACACATTTTTAGGCTATTAGATAAAGTAAATATCGTCGCTAATCCTTTTGTTTCCAAACTTAGCAAAAATAATTAGTTGTCATAATGTCGCAACATGATCACTCTCCGCCATTAATAGAAGTGCTACATGTGTTTAGTGGTTGGTATTGTTTGTTCCTTAAGTCTCTTATGAGCAAAAGTTCAACAAGTGAAAAGAAAGACGAAGTAGAACTGATACAAGATCTCATTGACATATTCTCCTACTAAATCAAGCAAAATTCAACAAATTATGTTGACGCATAGCAAATGTAGATCTTTCTTGATATGGTGACACCGATGTTGTAGTATGAACTAAGATCTTCGTTTTAATATGAATATATATACTTCGTCTTAAATTTAGCCCAACAATGTTAGATCTGCAAATTTGAGTTAACTGATCTGCAATGTACACCATCTACTTACCACTATACATCATGTACTGTGTTACAACCCTAGATAAAGCCGACGAGGAAATGCATTACTCGTCTAACGAAAGCTATACTTGTATATAGCCTGATTGTCCGAGTGGTCTAGGGCGCTGGACACAGTGCAGGCGGCCTTATCACGATTTCACAGAAGCAGGGATTGGAATCCCGCTGAGGGAAGAACAAACATTTGCTAACGCAAATTTGCAGATCTAACATTGTTGGGCTAAATTTGAGATGAAGTATGTATAAATTATGGTATTAGCCCTTTATAACCACAGGTTAACCGATGTAGAACGTCTGTCGTAAAGTTGTCACATATTTAGAAGTATGTATATCTATATAGTATCTATTCATCAATTATTTCAAAATCACGTTTCCTATGGATATCCTGGTTAATATACTATACTTATGGGACTATAATTAGATCAAACGTAACTAAAAATATTTAAGTATATAAATATAAGGATGCGTATGTATTTGATAAATACAATCTGTTCAAATAAAACTCCGACCTGTTTCGAAAAAGTGTTATGGATGTTTTCCTTTTTATGTATTTAGCTAATTTTGCCTTCTGTCACGTCGTAGCAGGTATGTACCGTAATCGATTAAACTTGTTCCATTGACCACATATATACTTCCCTTTCAATAAATTTAATATATGAATTGAAAAGAGTATGAGAACGTGAAATAGAATAATCCACCACCAGTAATAAAATGTTAATAAAAATAATAATAATTGTAAAAAATTATTATTTCATTTCGTTTCTTTCTTTAATTTTTCACTTCGATGATATTGAATGTGCATAACAATGATAATATTCTGTTTTTCATTTAAGTTGACATTAAAATTAAAGGAGTATTTCTTCCACTTTAGGTAACCAACGTTAAGTTAAAGACGATAGGCTCTTTAAGAAAATCCCTCTACAACAAAATGTAGCGCTGTCGTTGTTTGTGAAAATTTGTGCAGGAAATAGCGCGCGAAAAGCCACAAATATTCATGTACTGATTAAATCTTTGAAAAACTTAGTTTCTAATTTAAAACCTCAGTTCTGAGTTATTTTAATCGTGAGATGCTTAAACAAGTTAATGTGTAAGGCAACAATTTATTTCTTTAAATGGTCGACAAAACGTAATCATTGTTTTTTTTCGAAATTTCAGATGACGTGTTTGTTAAATCTGGAGAAAATATGACATTACAATGTTCATTACTAGGAAATTCTTTTTATTGGCAGAAAAATGGCAACATTCATCTTTCCGATAACAAGAAATATAGTGGTACCAGTACCGCTTCTCTAACTGTCGCCAATGTTGATCGTAATGACACTGGAATATTTCGCTGCACTGCCTTCACGAGTACGGGCAAATGGCGTTCAGGTCTGGATTATAGATTGAATATTATCCGTAAGTTTATTAACAATTTGAATCAGCGAACAAAAATTAATGAATGGTTTATCTTATTGTAAAATATGTGTCAAAGGAGGCGAAAGATACTAAATGATATCCAAACTGACAAGTCGAAAACAAATTGACAATCTCGTGGCAAAAAAAAGAAAAACGACGAAAAGACAAACAACAGTACACACAGCACAACATAGAAAACTAAAGATTGAGCAATACGAATCCCACCAAAACAGGGAATGATCTCAGGTGCTCCGGGAGGTAAGCAGATTCTGCCCCACATGTTGCACCAATCGTACGCATGTTGTTCATGTAAGTGCAAAACTGGTGATAGCTCTAATTTGGTAGATCACATTCGAGAGAAAAAAAGGATGGGATTGTGGTAACGACAAATGGAACATATCCGTCGTCATTTGTGAAACACATATTCTATAACGGTCAACCAACTCGTGATGGCGTCCGAAAATTTTTGAAAGGGAGGATTTCAACTTCAACACTTGGAACTTCCTTAAGTTAATTGATTCTTACGGTACCACTTTAAAACATATAGTCACCTTCATACCGTTGGGTTTTTTTTAATATTTGTATCACAAGATAATCACGGATATGTGTGTGTGATGCTGTAAAAATCCTGGCCTCTGTTTCTGGTTTATTGATTTTTTAACTAGGTAAACAACCGTTGCGTTCTTTATGGTCATTCGCAGATTTGACAAAATAGTATAAGGATGTCCGTTTGCATCTTAAAAAATGCTCATACATTCATATACTACAAGTACAGAAATGGCCATGTCAAAGTTTGCTGTACGAAAATCGAAAATAGTCTCGAATAAGAAGAGACAAAATAAGATAAGAATATAGATTGGTCACTATAAGTTCCTCACTACAGTAGGCCTAGTATATTATTACGTCAAGCAGGTACTATATACATGTAGTGATAGTTGTGCATGTTCGTTAATTGGTCTGTCTCAATATGTTTACTTTCATAATGCGATGATACACCTAATGTAGAGTTTCTGTTAACTTGTTTGTCTTTTTGTCGTCTTTCGGTTTTTCAATGAAGTCGTCAGTTTATTTCGACTTTGAATTTCAATTTGGCCTTGGAAGTTAAGACATGATGATATCACATACCAACTGTACAGCCTACGGGTTGTTGTCTCTTTGACACATTCCCCATTTCCATTCTCAATTTTACAGATGAGTTCCATTTTTAACAGTGTGAATGGAAAAAACCCACAAGACCAACAGCCGCTTAATTTGTTCCTTGAATTTTCAGTATCATTACGAAATTTTTCAGTGATATTCTTAAGTATTTATGATTTTATCTCGCATGAACTTGTATTTAAAAAAATTCGATCAAATTATTTTTAAATCATTAAATTTCAATATCACCTCGTGGATCTAAGCATGACAATCAAATACCAAATGCAATATATTTCCAGAACCATGGTAATTCTCTATTATTTCTCCTAATAGTTATCCTTAATTGTTACTGTTTTGTGATTTCTTGAAGTTTCTTTATCACTATTTCAATGTAAAACAGTAACAGTCTCCGGGACAAGTTTGCACTTCCGCTGAGTGCAAAAGTTGTCACCTTAATTTTTGGAGTTAAGTCAAAATGAAGTTGATAACTTGGTTGGTATTGGTTCCCTGATATTTGTCCTAAAAAATTTTGGCTCTAGCACCACTGTTGAAAAAGTTATGCCCCTTTTTTCAACAATTTCCTCAGAGGAAAAGTAGTTTTCCTCAAGGGAAATCAAATTTCCCTAAAGGAAAAAGATTTTTCCTTAAGGGAAATTGTATTTTCCTCAAGGGAAAAACATTTCCCTTAGGGAATTTGCTGCATTAATATTTCCTTTGAGGAAATTCTATTTCCTGTGAGGAAATTTGTGGCTTCAAATTTTCCTTTGAGGAAATTTTATTTCCTCTGAGGAAATTTGAGGCTTCAAATTTTCCTCTGAGGAAATTTGCAGCTTCAAATTTTCCTTGGAGGAAATACTTTTTCCTGTGAGGAAATTTTGTCAACTGCAATTTCCTTTGAGGAAATATTTAACAAACACTTTTCCTTGAGGGAAAATTCAATACCACAAATTTCCTCTAAGGAAAACATTGTTCTCCAAATTTCCTCTAAGGAAATTTCTGTACATCAACTTTCCCTGTAGGAAATGCTTTCCCCTATTTTTACTTATTGTAAATTTCTTCACTATACAAACAGTATGAACGTAATGTTTACAAGACTTAATAAATGATACAAATGATATTTAAACTTTAATAAATTTTTGACTCAAAATTATCATGACATACAAAAACAATATAGTGAGTCTGACTGTTTAGGTCAAGGTATTGTACATACTTTATATGACTTTAACTTTGATTTTTAAAATATTTTTTGTAGCAAAGTATTCTGTTTTCTTTGTTATTGTTTCAATTGTAGACCTGTTGGTGACCTTCTGTTGTTGTCTGTTTTATGGTCGGGTTGTTGTCTCTTTGACACATTCCCCATTTCCATTCTCAATTTTATTAATAAGCAACCAATTTGAATGTCATACCATTTGTGGAGTTCTTAAGAATGCGTTCATATTTGCAAATTAAATAATAAAATAAACACTTTTCTTGTAAATTTTAATTTTCCTCTGTTTCAGCTGCTGTGTACAGTTATTCAATTCACTACGTAAAAGTTCATAACATAAATTATTCCATTCACTAAACAATTTCCTTCAATTCTTAGAGAAAACATTTTTGCAATTTGTTCTTCGAAGATCTTCTTCAGTATATTTGATATGAGGGAGCGATGTAAATGAGTGGATAAAGCTGGTGTTCCTTTCAACAACAAAATACTATTTTTTTCTTCATTTCTCCCTTCTTTCGACGAATATATATAATATGTTGTTGCATTTATACAATTGTGTTTTTCTGCATCTATGATAGAACTCCATTTTGTTTATAGCCATTATCATGTGATTATGATGAAATTTCCTATTTCTTTTTTGCAGGAAAGCACACATTCCATTTCACATTAATCCAATTAGCGCACCATGTAGATAGATATCAACTTTCAGTTTCCTCTTCAGTATTGACCTATTGATCATGAAAACCAAGATGTCTGATCACCTATAAATACACAAAATAAACAAATAAAATGTTATAAATGGAGAGAGAAACAGCAATAAAAAAGCTTATTTTGTCATGTTTATGAACATTTTAAGAATATTTCCTTTCTTACTTGCATGACTTGTGAGTTCTCTTAATTCCGTGCTTTTTGTCTATGGGTTTTTATATTACCCCGGTAGTTGATTTTGTGCATTTTATCAATCTTTCGAGTTGAGGCAATTGCAATGGTTATTTTTACAGTTTGTACTTTATATGTTGAGCTGTTAAACCACTGTCCAAGGTTAAGGTAGGGTTGAGTGCTCACAAACCTGATTTTTTTATTACATGCATTAGTTTTTATTGATTTTTAACTAGCTGTCAGTAGCTGTGAGTACTAACAGATCTTTGTGTCTTTTGATTAAGAGAAAGGTATAAATTTCCTGCTTAGTCCGGACTGTTTATTTTTTTGCAGGAAATCTACCGGTATGTCATTTGTTGTCTGGTGAAGAGTTGTCTTATTGGCAATCATGCCACATCTTCTTATTTTTATATAACCTTGCCATATTCTGATTGCGCCTGTCCCAAGTTCGGAGCCTGTAGTTTATTCTGACACTCAAATTTAGTGGTTGTAGTTGTTTCATATCTGTCATATTTATGTTTTTTTAATTTGTTTTGTTATAAACTAGGCAATTAGTTCTACAGTTGGGATTATTTCAATTTTTCGTCTGAGGGCCTTTTATAGCTGACTACTTTGACAATAGGGTATGGACTTTCTCATTATTGAAGGCCGTCACTGGCCTATAATTGCTTTCTTAGAGTCATGATCAATAGTTTTCATATTTAATATACCACATCTTTTTATTTTTATAATAATCATGATAATCATCTTTCAAGGGCAATAACTTTTATAAAAGTGGCCTTATGAGTCTTATCGAGCATCACTGATGAGTGTTTTGTAGACAAGACGCGCGTCTGGCGTAAATACAAAATTTAATCCTGGTATCTATGATGAGTTTACTTACCATTTAGGTTTTGTTGACTTCTGCAAATTTTAAATTGCCTATCATTTCTGCTGTTTATAATTTCTCTGCATCTTCTATAGTTCTTGTCCTACACATAAAAAGAGTAAAAATTATTATTTAATGACATCTTGCATCAATAATTATTTTGCTGTTTAATGTATATATCAATACGTGTTTAATAAAAAGCTGTACCATGAGTGCTTGATAAGCTTGTTGCCCTTTTAGCTTGGGTTTATGCTGTGAATGAATTTTAATGATCAACTACATTATAGAAAAACTCCGAGCACTGCGCAACTAAGACCCCCCCCCCCCCTACCTACAAAAAACAAAACTACAGGCTCTAAAGAGCCTGTGTCGCTCACCTGACTCTATTTGGGTTTTTGAAATCATATAAAAAAGATAAAAATCATAACACATACTTTAATAATGATTGAGGCCATATTTGGTTTAATATTGTCCTACTCCGCTGGCGGCCGTCTTGGATGATGCATCAGCTACAGAGTAACAACACTTGGTCAACACCTCATAAGGAACATTCATGCTATGTTTGGTTTCATTCCATTCAGTGGTTCTCTAAAAGAAGACATTTGTATGTATTTCCTATAGGGTCCTATTTTAAACTAAGTCCCCCGCTGCCGGCCATCTTGGATGATAGATCGGCAACAAAGTAACAACTCTTGGTCAGCACCTCATAAGGAATTCAGTGGTTCTCTAGAAGTTCAAAATGTAAAAAGTTAACAACGGCAACGGACGACGACGGACGCCAAGTGATGAGAAAAGCTCACTTGGCCTTTTGAGCCAGATGAGCTAAAAAAGGACATGCACACAGAGTGGTATTCATTGAAAAAAAACATGAAAATAATTTGGCTCCATTTTAAGGGATATTGCAAGTGTATATACATTTTGTAAGTTTAAGGCCGTGATTTTTGAACAAATACAATTCTAAAACCTTCCAAAGTGTGAAAATGGACAATTTTAAACAATTTTCCAACAACTAAAATTCCATAACTCTGCATCTTATATAAAAATAAATAGGGGATGATACTCCGGCTTGCATATCATATAAAGTTATAAAGGAAGATAACTGAAGAACGGTAAATTTTATACTACTAAAATTATAACTTGATCTGATTTTGTGGTAAAAAGTATTGCGTTAAAGTTTAATAAAATTTGGTTGAGGCAAACTTAATTTAGAGGACGGAAACGTAAAATTCATCATTTTTTCCATCTGTAAAGGACATAACTCTAGAACAGACTGAGTCAGTAAAAGTGACACCACCAAAATTCAAACTGATTTTTGTGGTAATAAGCATTGTGTGCAAGTTTCATAACATTTGGTTGAGGCAAACTAAAGTTAAAGATAGAGAGCCGGAAACCAAAAATTCAGCAATTTTTCCATTTGTAAAGGGGCATAACTCTAGAACGGTAACACTGACACCACCAAAATTCACACTTGATCTGAGTATTGTGGTAATAAGCTTTTGTAAAAGTTTTATAACATTTGGTTGAGGCAAACTAAATTAGAGAACAAAAACCAATAACTTTGGGACAGACGGACAGATGGTCAAGGGTTGACCCACTATCACATGACTATGGGTCATAAAAATGTAAAGGGAGTTTATGTCAATATATAAAATCAATTCACCAAAGTTTCATAAAAATTGGTGAAAGCATTCTTGAGACTATCCAAAGTCTCAATATACAATAAAAACTTAAATCAGAATTTTTTTTTTAAATTGAAAGGGAAATTATCATAATTATGTTAATTGGCAATATTAATAAATGCATGCAACAATTTCTGAAATTTACAGTATATAGGCTTTTAACCCCACCATATTTTTGCACCTGTCCCAAGTCAGGAGCCTATATGTGGCATTTGTCAGTTTTGTATGATTTTTAATTTAAGTTTCTTTTATATATTTCGGAGTTTAGTATGACGTCCATTATCACTGAACTAGTATACATTTTTGTTGAGCCAGCTGAAGCACGCCTCAGGCTGTGGGATTTTCTCGCTGCATTGAAGTCACATTGGTGACCGACTGTTATCTGCTCTTTGGGCAGGTTGTTGTCTCTCTGACACATTCCCCATTTCTATTTTCAATTCTATTTTAAATTCAATTATAAATGTTAGGCTTCTTGTTGATTTGTTTTACATTTGTCATTTCGAGGCCTTTTATTATATTTTTATATTTACAGCTTTCTATATGCATAAGTGCTTGAGGACAGGATCCTGTTTTGAGCCCCCCCCCCCCCCCCCCCCATAGTCCCTCCCCCTTATTATCATAAATCTTAGATTTTTCAATATATATCACTTATTTGTACCATATACATACGAATATACCATATTTTTACTCTTAATATCTTAATATGCATGTTTACTATCAACGTGAATCTCGACTCCTGTCCTCAAGCACCTATATGTCTATATGGTGTGAATTTTGCTCATTGTTGATGGTCGTACGGTTATCTATAGCTCAGCGAAGCAACATCACAACTGTTTCCAAGTTTGTGAAGTCAGAGGACTATATTCATCTTTCCGACTTTCAGATCATTTGTTGATTTTTCATGAATATGTGCCATTGCAATATGAAATAGCTAAATCATGTATATATTAAAAAAAAACTTTAAACTAGGATACTTATTTGGGGAACTAATGATTTGTTGGTTTTTCCCTAGTCCAAATAATTATGACGTCTGGCAAGGCTATTTTTTTTTCTGGGACGCCTAAATAGCCTTGCAAGACGTCATAATTATTTGGACTAGGTTTTCCCCACCATCGACATCGTCCTGTGGACGAAACGAGTTTGGCGCATTATAGCCATTAACAAAAAGATCATGTCTGTAGTGACAAGTTAGTGTGTGTGCTTACCAATATTTGAATTTTATGAGCCTTCTTTTTGAATATTTTTTATCATTTTTTGGTACAATACTGACGTCGAGTGCTGTTGTTGTTGTGCTGTTTATTTTTTACAAAAGCGATCAAGTAATGCAGGGGAAGGAAACTTACTTAAAAGACCAAAATGAGTCGCAACTAATGGTACATAAATATTTTACTATGCAGTCAGTATCCTGATATACATGTATATACTCTTAGACTCATTTCACAGAAAAATCGTACAAGTGAAAATACTCGTTAGTCATGAACATTTTAGATCACTTAAAATTTAGATTTTATAACTTAAATTACGAAAGATGATAATTTGTCCAGTGTATTATATGTCTCTGTTTGTCAAATAAGCCCTTGTAACCAGGTTTTTAGCATTTTTTAGCACGTGTCAAAAAACAGTTAAAAGTGCCGGGATCTGACAAAGCTTTCAAGAGCTATTTCTGTTACTGTGAGTTTATTATATATTTATCACAAAAAGCTAATGCTAATTTCTTTTCATTTAATATGGGTCTATATGAAGCCCCCACCCCTCCTCCAGCTTATCTGATTAATTTACGATCACTCTGCGTAAAGAAAGTAAGTCACAATTGCTTATATAAGGTATTTTAAATTCTGGTTGATAGTTGTCTCATCACCAATCATACTACATCTCCTTATTTTTTTTACAATAAAGCTATATTTAGATGCGATATAGTGATGAATGTGTAAACATGCAGCATGCTTGTAAATAATTGTTAAAATACAGCACAAAAGATGCATAATATATCAAACTCGAGTCAACGCCATGTCAAAAACTAAAAAAACAACAACAAAAAAACACGACCAAATGACAAATAGTCTATAAAAATAACTATAGCATACCAAAATATATAATTTGTAAAGACTTGCATGCAACTAGGCCTATACAGTAGCTCTATGTTCTTCTAGACCTCATTACATTACGATTAAAAGTCAGATTATGTGTGTGTAAGTTTATTAGAAAATTCAACGAGACACGTCCTAATCAGGTAAAATCCAAAATAACAATCTACAAATTCAGATCTACTGCCTGTTGTATATTGCTTACATGATTGTATATTGCCAAACGAATAAATATGTCTGGTATGTCTCATTTCGCCTTAGCTGTCAAAATCTTTATATAAAATTAATCCCATTTTGCCTTAATACAAATTTTCAGGTAAAAAAGAATTAACTAAGGCGAAATGGGAACACGTGTAAACAATGTAAATAAGTTATTTTTTGTTTGTATTGCAATTAGTGGATATTTGTTATTTTATTGTCAAAATCTGCCATGAAATACTTTTTAAAAGAAGACATTTTTTTGTTGTCTTTCCGATTGTCTTTTAATTCTTTTTATAGTAGCTCATCTTTTTATGAAATGTCATTTTTCTTGTACTAGCTGCATAAAGAGATCATGGTTCGTCCGGCTTTCTCCTCCTACAGTTACATCATCATAACAAGGACAGTCTATACTAACTATATAGAAAAGAAAGTCCCTGATCATACAATACATACTGTTAAATTTATAATTTCCTATGGTCAGGCGGGGGCATCATTTGTGTCTTACAGACAGCGAAACAATTTCAAGTTATATGCCAACATCACTGTTTGTCAAATCTAAAATATGTGGAACTATACTCATGCATATATGGAAGAGCAGAAAGGGGGGGGGGGATTGTCCATATCTAGTTTTTACTTATGTGATATATTTTGTGAATAAAGTCTTTGTTCTTGTTTCTTATTAGAGATGACCAATAGGTTACAGAATATTTCATAGTTTACTGAATAAAATAAAGAAAAATATCATACAATCATAACAAATATTTAATTTCTGAATCAGCACTGAATTACAAGCACAATTTTAAATTAGCATACTAATATTATCATATATTATAATTAGCACAATTTTAAATTAGCATACTAATATTATCATATATTATAATTAGCACAATTTTAAAGATTTTTGTTTTTGATTTTTTTTATTAAAGTTTCTGTTATATATGTAAACAAGTCTGTGGGGAAACTTGTCATTTTGTTCTATTAAACTTTATGTGTTGCATAATGTTAAGGATAATTGAATTATTTAGATTTTTCTAATTGCATAAAATTCATAAATTGCAACTTTTATTAAATGAAACAAAAAATATTTCAAGAGAAGCAACATTCCCACTGACAAATCTTTTTATTGCAGATTTTTTTTCTGATTTCAAAACTTTTGAAATCATAGAAATATTCAATTTTGTTAATTGAATATAAAAATAACAACTCAAGAGAAACAATTCACCCATTACATGTTGTTTAAATTGATATAAAAACACAAAAGTTTAATTTGTTTATTTTGATATAAAAACACAAAAGTTTAATTTGTTTATTTAAATTTTTTAACTAAATTCACATTTCGCCTTAGTTCAATTCCCATCTCGCCTTAGTATTTTTTTTACCTTTTTTACCTGGAATTCACAGCTAAGGCGAAATGGGAACACACCCTTCGAAGCGGAGACAAAAAGACCCAGATAAATGAAAGTGTAGAATTTTTGTTGTGGAGAATTATTTTTTTAAAGAACTAGATTCACATCTCAGAATTTGAATATAGCATCTCGTTTTCTTTAGATAAATTGTTAGCTATTACTGACTATAATAATTACCCCCTTATAAGTATTCGCAAAACATGAAGTTAATGATCAATGAATATGAAAACATTTTATAAAGTATAAATATTGGTAAACGGACAGCAAGTCATAGGACTATTATAGTTCGAATAAATTAGTTTACAATAACTGTTGAAAGGTTATGAGAGAAAAATCTGGATGAATTTATTTTTATTAGAATGATTTATTTTACAGTAAAGGCTTCATATTTTTAATCAGTTATTTGTAAAAGAAAGGTGACATGTTTAACACCATGGAGCCAGTAAATTAACAAACTACTATGATGGATTTTTTTCTTTACTATTATTGATTATTATTAATATTTGAGAATAACTTTTGTTTACAATTCGTTTTCATAAATAATGGTTCAAGAAAAAAACTTTTTGAAAATAGTCTGTTAGTTTCCAAAGAAAAAAATATCTTTAAAACTGAACTGTGAGTTTTCAATCGTTACGTTTTGTTATACTTTTTTAGTGTTAATCTCAGCAAAGACAAATTTGGTGATAAAAATCGATTTGTTGGTCTTTAAAAAAAAACATACGTCATAATGTAATCTTCATCTGGAGATATTCATTCCCTACTGTAAAATATTGAGTTTTTGGTTGATTAATGTCGGGTGTGTCTGACGTACCGAATAATATATGATAGGTACATGTGAGTCTTGTAATTGAGACCGCCCGTGATACGGTCGGAAAATTTCGACTGCCAACGAAAAAGGATGGACAGAAAATTGGCCTAATACCAGGCTACTTAAAGTCCACTTGAAGAGTTGTTGCAAGGATTCAGCGTCCCCATTCGGACGTGTCATAGGACAACCAAATGGACGTTCCACTATCATTACTGCTAAGGATTTATTGCCGGTCAGAAGAGGACCTGTAACGACGCTATTTCTATAGTTACTCTAGTTCGCTAACGAATTCGCTTCTTGTTCCATTGAATATAAAGGAAAGAGTTATCTAATATATATGTATATATATATATATGTACACGTCTAAATTGAAAACAACGTTCAAACCTATGATTGCGTTGGATAAAAACCGCAATTTTTATACGTGTGCATGTAAAACAAATTTCTTGGTAGAGGGGTCTAAATACAGCACAAACAACATTTTCCAAAAGACCAAAAAGTGAAAAAGTATATTTTAACAAAACGCATTTGACTAACAGGTCGAACAACTGATGTTCTTAAACCCTGCTGACTGCCATTGGCTATTGCCAAATAAATTGATCACCAGATGTAAAAAATGGATCTTACATATTAATTAAATACCAAACAGAAAACAATAAACTTACGGAAAAGATGGTATACCGCAAACATGAGGTGCAAAAATTTGTACACCATATCCGGATTTCGACATTTAATGTCTCTTCAGTGATGTTAGGGATCGAAACGGTATTTGGAAGGCCATATAATATATATAGGGAAAAAAATAAGACTGAAAATGCACCAAATATTTATATTCAATGTGAATATTCACATTTTGTCTATTACAACAACAAGTTGTTCAAAAATTGTTGTAATAGACAAAATGTGAATATTCATATTGAATATAAATATTTGGTGCATTTTCAGCCTTATTTTTTTTCCTATTTTATGCACAGCATGGACAAAATTTAAAACTTTTTAATATATATATATATTTTTCTTGAACTACTATAAATAAAGTAGTTCATTTTAAAATGTATTCTTTAAAGGTTAAGAAAACAATAAGTTAAAATGGCTGCTACATACATGGCTTCATGGCTAATACCAAAAAGGTATAGCCAATTTCCCGTTTATTTTTTTTCGTTGTTTGGTTCACATGTTCAAATTTAATAAATTGATGAATTTAATAATTTATTGATATCCTAAATCTTTGTTAATATATTTACTTCGGTAGAAAAGAAAGTGAATCTTCTCATCGGGACTTTAATTAATCTGCATATCTATTATCTATTTTGGGATTGAAAAAAATATCTTTAAAAAATGCGGTTTCGAGCCTATTTCTTCATTTTAATTTGGTTACACGTTCAGCAATAACTGATACAAATATGATATATTACCAATGATAAGGCCATATATTTGAAGCTGTTCAAAATTTTGTACATTATAGCTGGGACTATTATACTAAAAAAATAGTTAGTATAATAGTCCCAGATTATAGGTACGTGTATCAGATTGGACATTTTTTGTTATTGTTCTATATAAATAATCTTACTATAAGTTATCTCAGGTCTAAACAAAATGTTACCATGAGTTTTGTTTGATAATTTTTTGTTTAATTCAGTTAAAAGTTTGTTTTTTTTTACACGAGAAGGTCTGCTAAAAAGTTTATGATGATCTGTTTTTTTTCAGCATAACAAACGGATACTCTTTAATGTACACTAGGTGGACTTTCCTCTATTCCGATGAAGGCAGTGCACGTCTTTCATTTAAAAGATTAAATCGTTGTTTTGCAACAGACGGCGGCACATCGGGCATTGACTTACCATTTTATAATTTGTAACAATTATGATTAACCATATATTTATGAGTTATAACAAAATTATTTTTTATACATCTTTATTTAAGATGATCGAGATTTGAGAATGATATGAAAATAATAAAATATATATTACAAAAAAAAAAAGTTATCTCAGGTCTAGTTATCTAGTATAAAATATATTCACTGGAAATAAGCCCTT